TCTCTCTCTCTCTCTCTCTCTCTCTCTCTCTCTCTCTCTCTCTCTCTCTCTCGCTCTCTCTCTTCCTAATTTTACACTCATTTTATATAAAAATATAGCCAAAATAATGGTTTATGTGATCATCTGAAAGTGAAAATCTAGAAAATACGAAGAGTATGATATTAAGAAATAAAATGTGAAAAAAGAATATAGGTTATGCTTTCAATCCTTGTCATACATATAGAATCTTGTTATATTTTTGATCATGGAAATTTTGGAAAGTGGTCATTTTTTTTGTGTGTGTGAAAGTAGTGAATGAAAGACATCATGCTTTCAGATTCAGCCCTGTCTGAGGTTATGATTATTTTATCTGTGGATTTGCCAGACGTAATGGATTTATCATGCCAACTTTCATCTAGTCCCACATTTCTTTTTCTTACCTTCAGTTAACTGGAAACTAACTTTAGAAGAAGTGTCAGTGTGACCCCTTGGCCCGATCTACACAAGTAGCAGATCTACAAATATAGATTGATGGAGTCTGTTTTAGCTCATAATTTCCACACATTTTGCGACAAATATATTTCAACATGTATACTTTATTCAATTGTTCCAAATGATGGCTGTAATTAGTATAAACATGCTTGTTCTGCATCAAAAAGCCTAAACTCAGGCCAAAAGCTTTTGCAGACTAAAGTAATAAGCAACATTGCCACCTAGTGTCAGTTGTTGTTGTTATTGTTTACAAAAGTAGGCCTTAAACATGTTAAATGTTCTTTTTAGAATTTTCCCACAATTATTTTTTCTGTTATTTTAGTTATTTGCCTTAACATTGTTAATGTTAATGTACTATATTAAAATGTTCTAACTTAATTACACAAAAAAACATAAGTGCAACAACTGCAACATATCAAAATGTAAACTGAAATCACATTTTTTCCCTTCATAACTATTCAACTATTGCTTTTATTGTATTATGTTTTTATTATATATCATAAAATAAACTGTGGTTAATTAATTTACCTATATCAATCAATCAATAAACAATGTATTTTTTCTTTTTGGTAATCTAAATTCAGACTATATCTGTCTTGATTGTAAGATAGTTGAACAAGTTGTTTAATTTTCACTTGCACAATCAAATCTGTACAAAAGAGCAATTCAGGATTTCATTGTGCCTAAGTTGTCACTAGATGGCAATGTGGTATTAAAAATAATGATTTGGTTTCTAAACATGACTCTCCAACTTCCTTTTACCCCAAATCCGATTACACACAAAATTAAATGTCACATGCCGAACTATTGAACTGCTCTTTAAGTGTAATCCCAGGTCAGTCCTGGATAACTTTCCACCACTTACAGTATTTACAGTAACTGGGACTCTTAAATTAGCCATGACCCTAATCTTCCTGCTTTAATGCCACAAATAATCTAAGGGAAGCCTATGATGGGCAATACCAGTCACAGGATATTTTATGAGCTACACTAAATGTTATACATTTCTCTATCTTTACACAGACCTGGAAACAATGTATACAGTTATCAAATGTACAGAGATGAGTTAGTAAATGTTTTTGATATTTCGTTTGATTTAGTACTGTATTAATGTTTTAGTGTCAAGCACAGGCTCAAATAAAAGCACAGTTGTTGTAAGCACAGATGCACACTGAACCTGATCCAATAAATAATCTAACAGCCTAAAGGACACCCCTGACAGCTGAAAAACAGTGTTTTTCTTAGGAAATTAGTGCTTTTGAAGCAGATTTTCCCAAAACTGTCCTGTCCACGCAGACAAAGCACTCTAACACTTTCAATTCCATCTTATATTATTATATTATATTATTGTTTACATCACTGAATACATGGCATACTGTGGCAAAAATACCCCTTTCTTGTCTAAAGTCCAACAAAGCCTGTCTAATCGAGAGGTATTGAATCAAAATGAAACAAGCCCAGTGAGGATAAGTGCATAACGTCAAATGAAGTGTGTTCACAGTTATTCCTGATCATTCATGTAATACAGACTCCCAATTACTGAAAATGTTGGCATCAGATAATCACCTCACTGAACTAATTTGCTTTCATTTGCTCCTTGTCTGGGCAATTATGGGATGCGGCCAGAGCTTACTCATGATCTCAACTGAATTCAGAGCGACTGCTGACACTCCACATGAGCAACACTGAAGAGATTTCCAAACTTCAGAAGAATATTGACCCCAAATTATTATTACTTTTTGTATGCGAAGAAAACAAAAATAACGACTTTATTCAACAATTTGTCTCCTCTGTAGCTCACCGTAGCACCATTTTGGAGAATATCCGCTGAATGCAAGCAGCGTACGCTCTTCTGTGTCAGCAGCGCCACACGGATGCTCTGTTTTCGTTCAAATCAAAGCGTAAATACACGTAGAAAACGTATTCTTGTGTTGCGGCTGACAGTATAATTTACTTGGCAGTCAATGTGACAGTCACAAGCCTCCCGGTTTTCATCCAAAATATCTTCAATTATGTTCCGAAGACAAACAAAGCTTTTACGGGTTTGGAACAACATGGGGGTAAGTGATTAATGACACCATTTTCATTTTTGGGGTGGAGTATCCCTTTAAGCACTTTGAGAGAACCTTGCCAGAACGTTAGCCAATGTTTCCTGTTAGCTGGGTCATAATATACCCAGTCTACAGCTCGGCATGGATGTTTCACCATTATGCCTACACTCACAGTGTTTGATAACTAAAAGTGTTATTGTTCTTAAGTTAGGTTGAACTTTTCACTCTTGTTCATTAAA